CGCTGTGCAGTGTGTGCACACGACACACAGGCCCGGCACCCTGTGCGCACTCCACTTGCTACGCCATGCCCCACGCTTACTGTCCACTTGGTACACACTACGTATGATGAGAGCAGTGCGTGCCCCCAGAGGGCTGGCTGAGGGGCTGGGAGGCCTCCAGGTCCCTGCAAGCTCCCTGTAGTGCTGTCCCCTGCCTCGTCCAGTTCCTCTTCATCCTCCCAACTTCTCCCTGCACAGCAGGTGTCAGCCTGGAGACGGAGGGCACTTGCTGCGGGTCTCGAGCCTGGAGGTGCAGAGGAGGAACGGGATGAGGCTCTGGCTGAAAGCTCACCGCTGCCTGGACTGTGCCACCCGAGCAGGGCTGGGGCCTCTCAACTCCCCAGTGCTTGCAGCTGCCGAGTTTAGAGCACCACTTTTTTTTCTTGTGGTAATGAGGACTGAGCCCAGGACCTTCATTCACACTGAGTACGTCCTCGGCCCTTTTTAAATATTTTATTTTGAGGGCTGGGGATTTAGCTCAGCGGCACAGCGCCTGCCTGGCGAGTGCGAGGTTATGAGTTTGATTCCCGGTACCGGAAAAGAAACAAAACAAAAAATTTATTTTGAGACAAGATCTTTCCCGGGCTGGGTTTGAACTTGGCATCCTCCTGTCTCACATCCCAGAGTGTGGGGTTATAGGCGTGCACCTCTACTGGCTTTGGGACACATTCTTTACGCACCCACAGAGGATTCCTATAACCAATCATCTGGGCTTTTAAAAAAGGAGTATTATTAAAAAAAATGAGAGGAAAGTGTTTTCAATGAAAGGCAAAGCAAGAAGGTGTTGCGGTAAACCCCCCGAGGCCCGGGATCAGGAGAAGCAAGGCGGCGTGGAGCAGCCGGGGCCATGCTGTCTGAGCACAAGCCGGTCGTGAGGCCGTCATCGTTGGTGCACTGTGGCTTGTGATGCCTGGAAGCCGGCGTCAGGCCTGCAGAACTCAGCTTCTCCAAGCTCAAGTGGTCCACAGAAGCACACGGGGCCTGAGGGAGCACCCAGGAGCGTGTCTGCCCCCGTTAACCTGAGCCGTGGGGCAGGGAGGAGTCGACTGAGCTGCCGCTTTTCAGCGTGCCGTAGTTATTACAGTGGACTCTGAAGCTTTCCCACAGAGAAGTGCCTGTGCGCTGCGGCCCACACCAGACTCCTGGGCACAGGGCTGGCCTCGCAGCAGCGGCCGCCAGCCCACCTGCCCTCGATGCCTCCCTCTGCTGGGCTCGGCAGCTAGAGGCCTGGCAGTCAAGGAGTCAGCACCTCGGACAGCACCGAGCCCTTGGCAGAGGCGCGCAGCGTGTGCGCCTGTGACAGGTGCCCGCGACGGTGTCCGTGTCGGTGGGGATGCAGGGACCTAGAAGCTGGCTGGACCAGGTCGTCTTCGCCTGCCTTCAGGTGAATCTGCTGGCTCCTGGCCGAGCAGCTGACACTGTGGGCAGGTGGCTCTGCTCAGTGCACGACTTAGAGTAGTGGCTCTGAACCTGCCCCGGGGAACTTCTGTCCAGCAGGGCGACCCAAGAGCAGGTGTGTGGGCCTCCAGGCAAAGGGACTCAAGCTATACTTTTCAGGCCGTTTCTGCCCAGTCTCGCCTCTAGGCCAACCAGGGCTTGCCTGGAGATGGAAGGCGTCATTACATCCACCTGACGGCCTCTCCCAGGGCCTCACCCCAGGAGGCTGATTACGGGAGCCCGCCCCCCAGGACTGCCTGTCTGGCCACAGCAGTTGCCTAATTGTGAATGCAATTAGCTGCTCAGTACCCTCAAAATTAGCAAGTGCCTAATTGTGCCTGTGATTATCAGCGGCACCCATAATTAACTGTGAGTGACTTTTTGTTACACAGGTCATGGTGTATGCAAATCTGTGCCCAGGAGAAGGCCCGGGGGGTGCAGTATGAAGAACCAGCTCTGTCCGGAGGTGGGGCAGTGAGCAAGGGAGAGCCGTGGTGTGACAGCCAGGGGCCCACACCCAAGCCCTCTGCTTGGAGGGTCCTGGTCTGACCCACTTTCCTAGGAAGGGTGAAGCCTGCAGAGGGTGGTGCCTACCTGGGGCTCAGGCCGCACGATGTCACTGGCCAGCAGCATGGCTTCCAGCATGGCGCCTGGCTCTGCATTCTCCAGGGTGGCCGAGCAGTGTATCCTCGCCTGGTGGCAGGAGGAAGGGCATCGAGGGTGACCCTGGAGGAGGCCTATTCACGAAGGCCTGATCCCGTTCATAAAGGTGGAGTCAAGGCTTTGGTTCAAATGAGCACTTGGTCATTCTGACCCTGAGCTCAGGGTCATCTGTCCATGCCCACTCCTCTGGGTCCTCCTGCTGACTGTGTCCCTGGGAGGCCACCCTGCTCCTAGAAAGTAGTTCTGCTCCCTGGGCTCCATGGCTGACTCTGTGGGACCCAGTGAAGGAGCCCGGGACAACCTGGGCTTGGCTGCATCCTTCCTTTCCCTGGAAGGGGGCTTCCTGGGCTCCCTGCAGGGGTCTAAGTATCCACGGACCTCTGCGTGTGGAAGCCCTGGGCACAGGGGCGGGCTCTGGAGCTTGCATCTCCTCCCCTAGAAAGGACAAAGTCTGGACATTCGACCTCTGGGACCAGTGGTTACAGCTTAGTGGGGCAGGAGGCTCAGGTAATGCTAGACCACACACCAGTGAGGGCCAGGAGACATCAGCCATCTGCTCCGCTGGAGGTGGGGGCAGCACCACTACTCCAGCCTGTGCTGACACGGAGGTCACTGAGGTGTATTGGGACCATGCGGTGTCCAGGCCCCTGGCAAAGAGGGCCTTAAGCTAGTGTTGGCCAGAGCCCTTCCAGCTCTCCCAGGAGGCCCACACAGACCCTGCCATGTCTCTTTCCTGGGGCAAGACGGTGACAGGAAAGAGGAAGGAAAGGAAGTGGGAAATGGAAGGTGCAAAGGATGGGAGGTAGGGAGGAGGAGCGCTGAAGTGAGCCAGCAGGGGGGAGCTGCAAGGACCCTCGGTGCAGGGGGCCCAGCCTTGGGCATGGGGCTGGAGCTGGAGGTGGGGAGATGCCAGGGCTTTTGGCCTCCGTGGGGCTGGGCTCTGAGCTTTGGTTGTTTTGCTTGCTGATGTCAGCTGTGGTGAGAGAGGGTTTGCATCAAAAGCTGTCAGGGGCCAGAGGCCCTTTGGTATGCACGTATATGTGTGTGGGAGCATGTGCCTGAGGCCCTTTGGTATGCATGTATGTGTGTGTGGGAGCATGTGCCTGAGGCCCTTTGGTATGCATGTACGTGTGTGTGGGAGCGTGTGCCTGAGGCCCTTTGGTATGCA